TACTGGGCGACTTCAACGCTAGGGTGGGTGCCGATCACGACTCCTGGCCTTTGTGTCTCGGCAAGTTTGGCATTGGGAAGATGAACGAAAACGGGCAACGTCTACTAGAAATGTGCTCTTTCCACAACCTCAGCATCACCAATTCATTTTTTTCAGACAAAACCACAGCACAAAGTGTCTTGGAGGCATCCCCGATCCAAACACTGGCATCAGCTGGACTTGATTATCACAAGACGTTCAACCATGAACGGTGTGCAGCTTACTCGTACATTCCACAGCGCTGACTGCGACACCGATCACTCTCTAGTCCGCTGTAAATTTAAGCTTCAACCAAAGAAGATTCACCACTCTAGGCAAGAGGGTAAACCACACATCGATGTGGGCAAGACGTCATATCCAGACAAGGCTGAAGAATTCACTTACACCCTCTCCAAGGCTTTCAGTTCAGAACATCCCTATGGATGTGTTAAAGAGAGATGGGACGACATCAGAGACACTGCGTACAGTTCAGCCACAAGAATATTTGGTAAGAAGCAGACAAAGAACAATGACTGGTTTGACGCCAATTTCGCTACAATCATGCCAGCAATAGAAGAGCGTCGCAGTGCCCACCTGGAATTCAAACGTTCACCCTGCGTGAGGACACTACATGCATATAGGTCTACCAGAAGCAAAGTGCAGAGGTTAGCACGGCAATGCGCTAATGAATACTGGCTTCTACTCTGTCAGAGCATCCAGTCAGCAGTAGACAACGGAAACATCAGAGGCATGTATAATGGCATAAAGAAAGCAATGGGTCCAACGAAGAAAGTGATAGCTCCACTGAAGTCTTCTGCAGGAGATATCATTCATGACAAGGGCAAACAGATGGAGCGCTGGGTGGAGTACTATTCCGAACTGTATTCCAGAGTGAATAACGTGACCAACAATGCCCTCAACGCCATTGTAAACCTCCTTTGTTTGACCAAACTGGATGAGAAACCTACTGTGACAGAACTAAAGCTGGCATTAGAGAAACTGACCACAGGTAAAGCCCCAGGAAAGGATGGCATCCCAGCAGAAGTCATCAAGTACGGCGGCAGTGTGCTGTTCACACACCTTTATGAACTTCTCTGCCAGTGTTGGGATGAAGGTGCAGTGCCTCAGGACATGAGAGACGCCAACATCATAACACTGTATAAGGACAAGGGCGACAGAAGTGACTGTAACAACTACAGGGGCATATCACTTCTCAGCATCGTGGGTAAAGTCTTCGCTAGAGTCATCCTGAACAGACTGCAGACGCTTGGTCTCAGAGTGTATCCAAAGTCTCATTGCGGGATCCGCGCAGAGAGGTCCACAATCGACATGATCTTCTCCATCAGGCAACTGCAGAAGAAATGCAGGGAACAATACAGACCCCTCTTCCTGGCTTTTATAGACCTCACCAAAGCATTCGATCTGGTCAACAGAGACGGACTCTTCAAAATCCTGACGAAGATTGGATGCCCTCCAAAGCTGTTAAGCATGGTCCAATCCTTCCATGAAGACATGAAAGGCACAGTGCAGTATAATGGCTCATCGTCCGAACCATTCAATTTCCACAGCGGAGTGAAACAAGGCTGTGTCCTTGCCCCCACGCTCTTTGGCATCTTCTTCGCTGTCCTGCTTAAGTACGCCTTTGGGACGTCCACAGAAGGGATCTACCTGCACACGCGTTCAGACGGCAGACTGTTCAACCTGGCTCGACTGAAGGCAATGAGCAAAGTAAGGAAAACAACCATTAGGGACATGCTCTTTGCAGATGATGCTGCTATAGTCACTCACACAGAAGCTGAACTACAATGCCTGATTGACCGCTTTGCTAAAGCATGTGATGAATTCGGGCTGACCATCAGCCTAAAGAAAACCAACGTGATGGCTCAGGACGCAGACCCTCCCAGCATAACCATTAACAACTACAAACTAGAAGTAGTCAGTGAGTTCACTTACCTTGGCTCTACCATCACCAACAACCTCTCACTCGATGCCGAACTCAACAAGCGGATTGGAAAGGCGTGAACAACTCTCTCTAGATTGTCAAAGAGAGTGTGGAACAACAACAAGCTGACATTAAACACTAAGATCACCATGTACCGTGCCTGCGTACTTAGTACTCTTCTGTATGCCAGCGAAACTTGGACCCTGTATGCCTCTCAGGAAAAACGACTAAGCGCCTTTCACATGCGTTGTCTCCCTCGCATACTTGGGATCACCTGGAGCGATCGTGTGACAAACAACGAGGTGCTTCAACAGGCCAAAATTCCATGCATGGTCACACTCCTCCGCCAACGTCGCATCAGATGGCTGGGCCATGTGCATCGAATGGATGATGGACGGATCCCCAAAGACCTTCTCTACTCAAAGCTTGCCTCAGGCAGAAGATCAATAGGACGGCCACATCTTCGCTTCAAGGATGTCTGCAAGCAGGATATGAAAGCTCTTGGAATAGAGGTCAACACCTGGGAAGAGCTTGCCCTCGACAAGTCCAGCTGGCGACATGCTCTGTACACAGGTCTGAAAGCCAGCGAGGAAAAATTACGACAGCTCGCTGATGAGAAAAGATCTCAGAGGAAGAGGATGCAGTTCCAATCAAGACCTGATTCATACTTCAAGTGTATTATCAACTGCAGCAAGGATTGCCACTCCCGTGTGGGACTTTATAGTCACAGAAGACGCTGCACAGCTACAAACTAGGACACCTTTCATGGGCGCATTTCCATCGTCTCTCGAGACTAACGGAAGCCAACCATGTATATATATATATATATATATATATATATATATATATATATATATATATATATATATATATATATATATATATATATATATATATATATATCCCTGTACAGTTTGAAAATGCACGGCCTGCGTAAACTGGCTGTAATTTATTTTCTTGTCAAGTGCAGTCGCTGTCATCGCCCTACATATTGACTGGCTGGTCAAACACCTTTATGTGACTGTTTACTTGTCACATTTTCTTGTTCCCTTTACTGGGTTGGGCAAGCGGTCAGTAATTATTCTTGAGGGTTTAACTTAACACTCGTTTGATAAGCTGTACATGCTGGCCATTATACTGGGTTAAAGATTTGGTGTTTTTGTGGGCTTAAAAGAGGAAGAACGGGGAAAACCCATTGAAAAAAAAAACACAGACTCGTTAGCTACTCTACCAGCCGGGGTCCTTAAGCGGTTAGTAAATAGTCACGTGGGTTGTACCTGGCTTGTATTATTATTTATGTCACACAATTTCGTATCATTTTAACTCGTACATCTTTTGTCCAATTGTCATGAAATTTTGCACTAAATTCTTTTGTTAATAACCATGATAATTTTCAGTCGAAAAATACGGAATTAAGAGAAATAGTTAAACTAACTGACCACCCCAATGCTCTAGCTATCTGTTCACCTAATGAAGAGGACTTACAGATATTATAGAATGGGCAATTGGGCAGGTTATAGGTATGATGCCACGCATAATCGTTGGTTGGTTGGCTTCCGTTAGTCGCGAGAGACGATGGAAATGCGCCCATGAAAGTTGTCCTAGTTTGTAGTTGTGCAGCGTCTTCTGTGACTATAAAGTCCCACACGGGAGTGGCAATCCTTGCTACAGTTGCTACACTTGAAGTATGAGTCAGGTCTTGGTTGGAACTGCATCCTCTTCCTCTGAGCTCTTTTCTCATCAGTGAGATGTCTAACTTTTCCTCGTGGGCTTTCAGACCTGTGCACAGAGCATGTCGCCAGCTGGACTTGTCGAGGGCAAGCTCTTCCCAGGTGTTGATCGTCTCTTATTAGTTGGTAACTTTTTTTTCTTCAAATGCACAGTGGTCGTCATGAAGTAATGATACATTATTTCTAAAATAGAAGCTACAAAAAAAACCAACTCTCTAAAAAACAACTCTCTGGAGCAATGTCACCTTCGCATTTTCCAGCCGCAATATTAAGGTTGCGGTTAGAACATGTACGTATAGAAAAGTCCAGAGGAGTGTAAAGTATTCGTCACCACAGATATTTCCCAACATTGTGTAATGAATTGTATTCTTTATAATAAATATAATGTGTTGACTAATTTACCGTTTAATGTCTTTTCGGACAATCTATTTAATGGCTGAAAAAGTACAGAATTTAATTGCTATATAACAATTTTGATGTCCCGTAATCCTTCACCATGGATTTATCGATTTAATAATCGGTATGTGCCTCAAAATTTTTATGATCATTTGTTTGTTCTACTAAATAAATTACTATTGAGATTACCATTGCTAAAAATCTAATTGAGTTAGTTTTTGATTTCAACAGTCAGTCTTATAAATTAAAGGAATGCACAATGAAACGGACGAATAAACTGAGGTAGGTGTATATAAGTTAATACGTAAAAGAGTAGATGTAAGAATACAATGACTGAAAGAATGAAGAAACGAACGAACGAATACCATAATGAATGCAAGAATAGAGAAACAAATTAGCGAACTCGGAAATATATGAATTTACACACAAATGAGAGTAAACAAAAGGATAATAAAGGACTATACCATTTGCAAAAATGGAAATAATAATTTACTACAATGAAAAATGAAAAAAAGGATGCAAATTACGACTATGACCGTATGTTACTAGTTAATGTTTTGTTTGTGACACCAACCCTGGGGCTCAGGAGCCATAAGAGTAGTCACCATGGGCAACACAACTAGCGCCATCATCGGACTCCATGGACAACCGAAGAAGAAAAAGTCTTCATGTGTGTGTGTGTGTGTGTGTGTGCGGTGCGTGTGTGCGGTGCGTGCGTGTGTGTGATTTGGATTCTTAACTTAGCTTGAACAATTTTTCAATCATATTCCTACGATGTCTGTAGTGTGGCAGTTAAAAGTGATGCCTAATAATGGGGCATCATGTCGCAGACATGTAGCATGATGTCCCACTCAGTCACATTATCCTGACACCAGGTTGACCAATCCTAACACTAATAACCTCTTAATGCTGGCATAATTCGGCCGGTGTTCGAACCCACGACCTCCCGCATCCGAGGCGGACGCTCCAACCACTAGGCCACATGATATATAAGATGGAGAAGGACATTAGTTACTGAAATATTTGCAATTGGAGCCGAAATGACACCGATGACCCTTTGTAGCCATGCAATGGGGTTGGCTATTAGGGTTTCTTATTTTATAAATTTATTGCACTGACTTTTCTTGATGCAAAATGGATCGGACGATAAGTGTTTGGCTTTGGCCCTACACAGAAAAGCACACCCAATTCACCCACTTACATGGATAAAGGGGTAAAATGAGAGAGAGAGAGAGAGAGAGAGAGAGAGAGAGAGAGAGAGAGAGAGAGAGAGAGAGAGAGAGAGAGAGAGAGAGAGAGAGAGATTTTATACCGTTTAACTGAATATTGAATATAAGAATCTTGAATGGCATATACTTACCCTGTTTTACTGTCAAGTGAGCGAATGAAATCTATTTTCCTGAATGTTATTTCAACCCTTACCGTCTTAAAAAGTCTTGTACTTGTTCGTTAATTCTCTTAGCGAAAGTCATGTGACTAAAATCTAAGACGGCTGATTTATCCAATAAACTGGATGAGCTATATATAACCATACAACTATAAAGGCGTGAAGTCATTGATGATCAAAAGATCTATAAATAACCAGTCGGAAATACCCATCTAGTCAAGTATTTAGTTACATTTGCTTTCTCTTGAGGTTTTATTTATGAAAAAAATTATTCGGCATCTAAACTAAATTTGTTCAAATAAACAACGTTCAAAGGATTCAATGCTTTACATTTTCAAAAATAACAAAGAGTTCGCAATAGTTTTTTAAACGAAAGGAGTCAGTTATATTTTAACATTTGACTGGCAGGTATATGGAAACGGTGATTCATCAACATACTTAGAGACCCTACGTGATAAATAAACACTATATCTGCTGGACTTAAAAGAAATCGAAGAAGACGACCTTACGTGTTAAGAACTGTACTGATTTCTGTACATGAATTCCCATATGAGTGACATATCAGCTCGATCGCACTGATTGGTGTAGTTTAACAACATAACATTATTTTTGTATGCATAATAGCCGTTGTTTTACACATATAAACAGACGTACATGTACATATATGTATATATGCCGGGCGTTCTTAGTAACTGGTAATGTCATGTGTTAAGCAACGAATGGTAAAGACTTGAAAATGAATTTTTTCTTTTGAAAGGCATGTGTACCCATAACATCAAAAGACCCAAATCTATACACATTATGTCTAAAATGGAAACCTATAACACGCTCTCTCTCTCTCTCTCTCTCTCTCTCTCTCTCTCTCTCTCTCTCTCTCTCTCTCTCTCTCTCTCTCTCTCTCTCTCTCTCTCTCTCTCTCGTTTTACTATGGATTACATTGCTTATATGTTACACCTTGCTACGACCGATGCGAATATTTTTTATATATGTGACCTCTCTGCAGTAGGAAATGCACCGCCTACATAATACGACCTATATTTACAAATGCAGCGTGGGCGCTACGTGTTGGCATGTCAGAGACAAATGCGTGGGTGTAAAGTATACGCCAGGGTTTTCTCTGATAAAATGACGAAATAAATGCCAGCATGAAACAACACGAAAAAGATATTCATACTTACGGTTCTCATTTTAATAGTTGAAACTCTGAATTGTCGCAAAATGAATAGCACCTAATGTGTTACGGAAAGTGGTCTCCAACCTTTTTATCGCCGCGGACCGGTCAACGTTTGATAATTTTACCGCGGCCCGCTGACGGGGGACGTTTATTGTCTATATTTTAGATTGTTTTGATTTAATAATTATACATGCCTTCAAAATAAAATACAGTTACACCAAAAAAATTAATATAAGTGATTTAATATTTTAACTCACTAGAACGCTAAATCAATGAGAATCCTGAACTCGTTTCTTTGCAACGAGATGGTTCCATCTGGGGGTAATAGGAGACAATGACACCAGAAGTGTGTTGCTTATGTCAAATTTATTCCGTTGTTTTGTTTTGGTTGCTGTCACTGCAGAAAACCTTGCTTCACGCAGATAGGATATAGGAAACAGATAGGATATAGGAAAAGGCAATAGGGATTTAAGTGCTGTGGTGGCAATCTCAGGGTAATCAACCATAACTTTAATCCAGAACACCGGCAGAGTTATTGTCTTGAACGTAGTTTTAAGGCTGCCGTCATTTGCAATCTTTAACAGTTGATCTTCTTCATTCGCAGACATGCTAGATTCGCCTGGTTTGTTGATTAATGGATCGCATATCCATTCCTTACCAGTTCGTTGGTCTTTTGTGTTTGGGAAGTAGAGCTAGAACTTTTTTAAAAGTAAAGACAGGTGATCTTGCACCAACTGGGAGAATTAATGCTCAGACCCAGTCACGCTTAAAATCACCGCTAATGTCTGAAACATGTCCGAAATGCCTCTGTCCACGTGCCGTCCCCACAACTCCAGTTTGGCTTTAAACGCAGCTACTTTGTCTGCCAACTAGAAAACAGTTGTCATTTTCTCCTTAAGGTACAGATTGAGTTCATTTGAGCAGGCTGAATATGTCACACAGTTAAGCCAGTTTTGCGAAACATACAATGTCACTGAAATGTGCTGCCAGCGGTGACTTCTTTTTTGAGAGAAATCTTTGCAATGTCTCATAATTCAAATAATCTGGTTAGCGATTTTCCTCTGGATAACCATCTTATTTCTGTGTATAAGAGAAGGCATCTGCGCTTTGCATCCATTTCTTCAGAAAGGTGCTGAAACAGGCGCGAGTTTAGGGCGTGTGCTTTGACGTGGTTAATAACTATAACGACATCAATCAATACGCTGTTAAATTCCGGTACAACGTTTTGGCTTGCCAGCATTTCCATGTGAATGATGCAATGCGTAGATTAACTCTCAGGTGCAACTTCCTTAATCTGAGCTGTTAAACCAGACAGTCGTCCGGTCATGGCAGCAGCTCCGTCTGCGCATATGCCGACACAAAAGGACCATTTTAGTTGTCCTAATATATAACCATCCAGTGACTTAAACAGTTCTGCTCCTGTGGTGTTGGATGGCAAAGATAATGCACAAAACACATCCTCATGCACATCCTCCTGAAATAGATATCGCACATAAACAAGTAGTATTGCCTTGTTGTCGATATCTGTAGATTCGTCAAACTGGAGTGTGTACCACGGTGATGTATTAATCCTCTCCAACAATTGTGTTTCAATGTCATCGTCTATTTCCTCAATGCGCCTTGTCACAATGCTAGCCGACAAAGGCACATGTGCTATATTTTACACAGAAGCGTCTCCTAGAAGTTCACGGCAAATGTCTTTAGTGGAGGGCAAGATCAATTCTTCACCCATAGTGAATGACTCTTTAGCCTTAGCAATACGGTTAGCCACGAAATATGATGCTCTCATTGTATTCTCCTTTATTGGTTATTATGTCCTTCGTGTTCCCGTTTTTTTTTTCTTGCAAAATACGCCAGGGGCTTGTCTTTTAATCCAGGGTGCTTGGCGTTCAAGTGGCGAAGCAGTTTTGAAAGTTTCATTGCTTCATTAGAGAGCTGATCGCCGCAAACTATGCAGAGCGGGGTTGGTGTGTGGAAATCACCTGTCCCGATAAATCCATATTTCAAGTAGGACACATGGTATTGTTTGTTAAAAGTTGTATGTTTCTCCGATGTTAAGGCTCTTCTGTCTCTTCACTGGGCCTTTTCTATTCTCCAATGAAACTTTCTAACGACGTCTGCTTCGTACTCATTTTTTGCTAATTTGTGGGTTAAATTTGAAGAAACACAATATGCACGTACACGAAGCACTGTTAAACAAGTACCGGTGAACAGAGAGAAGAGCGATACACATCCCTTCTTTCCATCAAAGCTACAACTCTGCAAGTGCTTGCAGCCGCTCAGGTCCAGACATGACCTAAAACCTCCCCGATATCACGATATTTTGCGCATGAACGGTATTGGTGCGGTTTTATGTGATGTCTCTCAGCTCCCGGTTAACCTCTCGTCCATGGAAAGTTGCACAAACTCGAGAGAAATACACCATTGTAAATAAAATGGAAATAATTTAATGTTCCTTGGGCGGCCCGGTACCATTTGATCCACGGACCGGTACCGGTCCGCGGTCCGGGGGTTGGGGGACCACTGTGTTACGGGATAAATTGCACAAACATGGAAGTTGGATAGGGATATAAGAGCTAAAGATGTCTGGAAGCAACAAAGCTGGCTGATATTAGCGCATTATGTAAGGGTTGTAGTTTTTTCAGTCTTAAAGCTGAGTAATTTTGCTACATATCAGAATAAGTTAATTTATGTTTAAGTCGTGTTTTTTGTTTAAGTCATGTTTTTTGTATTCTTTGTTTCATGATTTTTTAAAAATATAATAATGAGATACACATCAGTCAAAATGTATCTCTTGTCAGAGGATAATTTTCACCCCTGTCTAGTTCTGAAAGTTGTCCGTTAATTGCTGTGAGTTTTCCGTTAATTGCTGTGGAGTACACGATGTTGTCCTCTTCAAAATGTGAAAGATTACTCTACAACATTATGTAACACTCATACAGATTTATGGCAGAAAGTGTATTTATTGTATCAAATGCAAGCATTGCAATCGTCGGAAAAACAATTGGTCTCTGAATGGCCTTGCTTTCGGCAGACATGTGCAACTTTAATTTCGACGGTAATGACAGCCAGTTGGTAAATATGTACAACTGTATCTTCGTAGATTAATGAGATATGTTGGTAGATATGCACAAGTGTATTTTCGTTGGTAATGACAAATCCGTAGCAAAGGAAACTCCAGAGAGTCTCACAATATGAATGGAAATAGAACAATACCCCACCCTCCAAAAAAAGACGGGTTATATGTACTCGAAGAAAAAATACAAAAATCTCTGCCGTACACGTTACAGGTAGTAGTAGTAGAGATTGAAATGAAAGGAAAATCTGACAATTTCTCTCAATTTTCTCTCACTGTCCTATTCACAGCTTGCATCAATAGTCCTAAGAATGAAACGTATAGTGCAAGTATGGTATCAACCAAACTAAT